TTTTCTGTTTTCCTCTCCCTTGTGAATTTGATTTTCATTATTGAATTTCATGCTTTCCTTATACTTAATCATTTGAAGCATCGTGGAACTAAAGATAAAGTTTTGCCTTTTTGTGTGTCACAAAGTCATTCTTGGTATCAGTATGCCCTCAGAAATGAGATAGGAAGATAAGGGATTTAAAGCATTTGAAGTTGGGAGGGGGCTCAGATAAGGAATATAATAAAATTCAATTTTTTTTGCTTGAAGTCTATATACTTTAACGTTTTATCTGTTCTTCAGGTGCTAGGAATCAAACTGGCGACCTTGCACTTGCCAGGCAGGCACTGTGCACTGAGCTCTATCCCCAGCCCCTCTACTCTAAATACAGACTTTAAAAACAGTTTTTTTCCCAGCTCAATAAACAACAAGAAACCCAATATATACTTTCTTTCCTATATCCATTTCCTAAATCTTGGGTTACTGTTAATTGTATTGCTTATTTTTCTTTTTACATTTAAAAGCGACTGTTTACCTTTGCCTTTTTCAAACATTACTGACCTAACCACTTTACAGCTAAGAAAGTTTCTAATGATTTACTTCAAATAATTTTCCTTTTGTTTCACCTGGTATTGAAAGGTGGCTTTCTCTAATGCACCCCTCTCAGGTCTTGGTCGTGTTTGCTGCGTGCTGCAGAGGTCTCTGGAGCTTCTTCATCTCTCTGAGACTGTAGGCAGAAAATGTCAAAGGGAAATACTGCGTTTGCAGACATTTGTGCATTCTGATAGCCAAATTAAATCTGAAATTTAAAATGCCCTTTAATAATTGCAATGAGTTGATGTTGGAATTCAGTGGAAGCAGAAAATTGATGGTGTTTTCATGTGATTAAGATGGCTAGATGGAAGGCACAGAACAGAGCTTGTTTACTCATTTAGGAAGGGCTTTTCCTGTGCAAACATGTTGAGTTTACTCTTCTCAACTTTGAAATGCCATTTTCAGATGCTCTAATGTGTTACAAGAAAACCAGTTATTGAATAATTACAACAACAAAAAAATTGTTTGACTTTTAAATGTGGGCAGGTATATGTTTCTTCTGTACAGAAGACTGGCAACAGTTACTGAAGCCCATAAAATGCTACTGGGAAAAAAGAACATGCTACAGGATGCAAAGACTCTTATGCTAGCAATTTATTAAAAGAAACAGTATTGTTTGTCTAAAATAGATTGAAAAGATAAAAAATACTGCATGTGAATCTGTAAAGCTGATGTTGTAATGGGAGAGTAGGGAATATAGCAGTGTGCTGGGGTTAATATTGGCTCCCCAGACCAAGAGTATTCCCAGGTCGCTGGGTCCTCGCTTATTATGTGTGCGACATTGGCTAAGTGACTTAATTATTGTGATGTTACATCTTTTCATCTATAAAATAAAGGTAATACCTTGTAATTTCTCCCTCTCCTGACTCTGTCTCTCTGTCTTTCTGTCTTTCTCTGTCACTCTGTCTGTCTCCCTTCCTCCTCCTGCCTCCTCCAGGGCCTTGTACTGTAGTTCAAGCTGACCTTGAACTGGTTGTGCTTCTCCTGCCTCAGCCTCTTTAGTGCTGGGATTATAATTTTGCTCTATCTCAGCCTGCTTTCATGTAGATTTTGAAAGAGAAAGATAAGTTGATGAGTAAAATGCTTAGGAAGTTTGTTGATGCTTACAAGATAGTTATTACTATTGGTAAGAAAATAGCAGTAGCAGTAATAATAATAAACTAATGGACAAATTTTTATGAAAGAACTATTTTATTCTCTATAACTTGTTTTATATAGCTGTATTTAAAACTAACAAACATTTAAGTCATTCTTATTGTAGAATAACATAAAATATTGTTTAATTTTAGTATCTGAAACAGGAAAGCTTTTGTAAATAATAGAATTAAATACTCTTTTCCTCTAAAAATAAAAGCTACATACTTCTGTAAACTAAAGCCCACTGTCAAAAAAACCCTCTATTATTTGTTTAAAAACATTACCCTAATGATACCTTGTGACTTTTATGTATTTGTAGCCTCAAAGAAAATCATTAATTGATGCCAACTTGGTGAAAATTTTGGGTGAAAATTATTTAGAAATCTCTCCCCTCCCTCTAATTGAATAAATATTGAGATTATTTTTAGTGACAGAACATTTCACATCATTTGATTAGAGGATCATTTCACAGAGTTTAATATAACTATTGCTTTAGTTGGCTGGTTGTTAAAATAATATTAGAGCACTGTATACGTGTCTATTGTTGTTGTTTTCATTGTTAGTCATATCTTTTAATATATATCCCCAAATGAGAACATTGTACTTTTATATTAAAATGTTTCAGAAAAACAAAAACAAAGAGCTGGCTAAATAGTGCAGCAAATTAAAGTGCCTGCAAGCAGGTGCAGGGGCTGGGGGTTTGGTCCCCTTGCCAGCCCTGCCCCTTGGGCGTGCTGAGATGGCAATTGAGACTAGGCGTGGTGGTGCAGTTCTGTAATCCTAGCTCTTGGGAGGCTGTCAACAGGAGAATCACTGAGAGTCCGATCTAGTAGTGAGACCCTGAACAAACACCCTGTAGGCCCTTCTCTGAAATACAAAACAAAAAAACAAACACAAATCCAGACTTGGCACGTGAAATCCCACCTTTGTTTTTTTCTTTTTTTGGGGGGGGGGCTGCCGGGGATTGCGCTTGCCAGGCAGGTGCTTATGCCATTGAGTTATCTCCCCAGCCCCCACCTTTGATATTAATTTCTTTGTAACTGAGTTCTTTGAGATCAAACATACTATAACCTCTCAGAGTTTCTTAAGTTTTTTTCCTTCTCTTTCCTCTGACCTTAGTTCATTGATATTCCAGGTAACCTTTAGAATGTTTTTGTACAATGGCCCATCTAGTTGTATGTCTTATTTGTAATCCTGGATACTACTCATTTATGTCTAAAACTTGTTGGGAAGAAAAAAAATCACAGAAATACATTAATATAGTGTTAGTATTACTTAGGGACATGGTCATACTTTTGAATTGAATTTGAATTTGAAGTTTTGTTACTTCAACTTAGAATTTAGCTTTCATACTATGCAGTCTAAGGCTATAAAAACTCTAGGTTCTGTGAAGTCCTTTCCTGTTTGCACTTAGTGTTTCATTCTCTGAAATTTTGAAAGATGTTCTCACTTTATCATAAAATATACAAAACTTAAAATATATATTAGCAGTCTTTCTTCAGAATATGGATTAGGATTGATTTTTGATTCTGAAGAAAGTTACTTATGTGCAACACATAATGGAAATGAAATAATGGCCCACAAATCATTGTTTATTCTTATGTTAATGTGTTTAATGTGACAGTGAATCATGATTACATTTTTATCTTTGCTTTCTATTCACTTATTGCATTGACCTAGTTTATTAAACATTTTAAAATGTAAACTTTATATATTTGTTTATTTAGTTTTACAGTACTGGGGATTGAACACTTGACCTTGCACTTGCCAGGCAGGTGCTTATGCTGCTGAGCTATATCCCTGACTCTAAAATGTAAACTTTATCTAGGTGCTTAAGAATAGATTTTATTTTTGGAGAGGAAGATAGCAAGCTTATGTTCTTGCTTCTTTGTTTGTTTGTTTAAAACAAAGTTCTTTTAACTTGGTCATTTTGTTTTAAATTTTTTATTTTTAAAAGTGAGTACAAAGTACTGAAATAGAAAAATTACACATGATATAGAAATCTGCTGAACAAAATAAAATGAATTTCACAATATTTGTTACAATTCACATAGTGTTGTCTTCAAATTAGTTGTTCATATTACCAGATATATGCATACAGAATTGGAAGAAGAAAGAAAAAATATTAAAAATTAAGAGAAAAAGGAAAAATAATTGAAAAAAAAAGAATCAAAACAAATTAAGCATTAACTGCTGTTTTCCAGAGACCATCAGAAATCCACAGTACAGTTGTCCAAAGCATCTTGCTTACATACATAGATATATCTCTTTTCCCCCACTCCCTCTCCTGTCCTTCTCAACTCAGTAATTTTTTCCTTTTTAAAAGGTTCATTCCCTTTTCCCAGGATCTTTTATACCCTTCAGATTTTATTTTCTCTTTCTGGTCTCATGCCAAGGAGACAATATGATGTTTGCACATGAGGGTTGACTTACTTCACTTAAGAGTATGGTCTCTAGTTGCATCCATAATCTTGTTTTGAATCTTAACATTATACTTAATTTCTTCCATTCAGGCTGGGGAGATAAGTGCCTGCCTGGTGAGGTCAAAGGCCAGGGCATAGTAATGCATACCTATAATCCCAGTGCTGGGGAGGCTGATGTGGGATGATCACTAGGAGTCCGAGCTGCGTAGCAAGACCCTATAACAAACAAACAAATAAATAAATGAAAATTTCTTGTATTTAAACATTCTTCAAGTGTTGAACTTTCTACTTGTTTTGTAATCAGTGGAAAACTAATAGGGAAATTATAAAGCATTTATAAAATGTGTTTTATAAGAATGACCTTTAGTTGTTTTTTACTTGAGAAAACATTACTACATTCTTGGTAATGAGAATGAGAATTTCATGTCTTCTGTAAATTCTGTTTCAGAGAGAGAATAAAGAAAATGATTATGTTTGCATCTTCACTTTTTTTCTAAAAGCTGATGCTGTGTACCAGTTATATACAGTGTCAGACACTGTGCTAACTGCTTAGGTATATTAGGCTGTATTTTATCAGCCTTCTGAAGTGTTTGCTTGTTTCATTTTATGTTGAACTAGAAAGCATAAGTAATTCAAAAAGCTAGTAAATGATCAAAACTGGAATTTCATTCCAGATCTGTCTGACACATAAGGATTATTTTTTTTTTGTTAATGATTATTCTTATACCAGTTCCATAGTATATACTCAGTAAAGTTTCTTGAAAAACAAGTGTTGCATATCAGTTGACTTTTAAAATAATGCTGTGATGATTGTATAAACTATTTTATGTCTAATAGATACTAGTCTTAATTTCTTACCTTTTCCCATAGGAAAAGCGACTGAAAGAAAGAGAAGCCAGAAGAGAAGCTAACAAGAGACAAGCAAAGGTAAGAGCTGATTTATATATGAGTCCATATGTATAGTTAGATAATTTAAATATAGTTTTGCAAGCCGTTAGGATTGAAATGACCAGGAATTTATATTTGAATAAGAATAGTGTTTTTGATGTTGATGTGAACTTTTTTATCCCTGTCTTTTTAATATGCGTTTTATGTTGTATATCAAAGCATTCCATTCAGATTTAGGCCCTCGTAGCCTTTTGTGTGTTTTGTATATTCATGTGTTTCCACTCTAATGCAGTATAGAAAATGCCTAGGATAATTTGTTGCGCTTTGACCTGTTCCTTCTGCTACCTTTCCCCACTATATTTTATGCTTATAAAAGCTAGGCTGCATAGGATTTTCACCTGTATTACTTTAGACTAGTTTGAATGGCCTACTGGGGCTCACCTTGATAATAACTGTGAAAGCATTGGTTGCTTCAGTTTGGCTCTTAGAATCTCGAAGCTGCTCTGTATCTCCCACCTTCACTGTATTCTGTAAACGATAATGTTTAGAAAAGTACAATCTCCCTAAAATCCATCCATCCATCCATCCATCCATCCATCCATCCATCCATCCATCCATCTTTCTACCCATCTGGTTATAAATACCTTCCATGCTATAATTTTTATCTGTTATATTTGATGCTGAGAAGGGTTTCAGTATTCTAAGGACATTTAGTAGAAATTATTTCCTAGAACCAGAGCCCAGCAAACATATGCCATTTCTCATGTTGTATCTCACTGTTCTATGCCTGACTAGCCATAGATCTTCTTGGCAGTTAGCAAAGATCTGACTCCCTTGAGCAAGCCCATAACATTCTTTGTCAGTTTTTTTCCATGCTGACCTTGTCTCTTAGAAAGCAAGTCAGAGATGATAACTCATGCTATAGTTCTGAAGTGGGAAGCTATCACTCTACAGTAAAATATGAAAAGACTTCTTATGTTCAGTATTAAATAGCACTCTCTCTTCAAAGGTCCCCAAAAATGAAAGCTCCAGTGTATGTAGCCTGACTCTTTGGCAGGGTTATTAGATATTAGGGTCTGTGGGTGGGAAAATTAATATTTAAGAGGAAAATCTGCTTGTTATTTATGAATATTGTCTATTCAGCATAAAAAATAAGTCTAGCTTGCTTCACTAAGCCGTTCTCATTTCTGGCCATAGAAGTGTGAAATGAAAGTTATCATCTAGAGCCAAAAGAAAGCCCTTTTCATTATATTTCCTTATGTGTATCTGTGCATATTTGTTTATAAGAGGTTCACTCTTAATCTGCGAGTTCTGTTTCCACATTTGAACTAATGGCAGATGGAAAGTATAGTTAGACCCATGGTGAGTAAGTATGTACTGAAGATGTGTGGATTTTTTTTCTTGCCATAATTCCTTAAACAATTTAGTAGAATATTTATATATAATTTATGTTGTTTTTGTTATTGTAATTAATATGGAGTGTAGGAGAGGGCTAGGAATATAGCTAAGTGGGAGAGTGCTTGCCTAGCATGGAAAAGGACTTGGATTTTTTTTTTTAAATGTATTTGGTACAGGATCTTACTATGCATTTCAGACTTGTAGTGATCCTCTTGTTTTCAGCCTCCCTAGCACTGGGACTGTAGGCGTGCACCACCATGCCTGGATTCTGTGGCAGGCTCAGCATGCCTGGGGGCTTGCCTAATCAGACACTTACTCTGCTGAGCTGTCTCACTGGCGCTAAGGACTTGGATTTGAGTTCAATCCATACTACCTCCAAACAGTGTGTATGTGTGTGCATGCATAATATGTAGACATAATACATGTATATATGTATGTGTGTGTGTGTGCAGAAATGTACACATGGTGAAAAAATATATAGTAAATGTTTAAAATTAAAAAATAACTGTATCACAGTGCAAAACACATTGTCCACAATCCCCTGAAGTGCTTTCCTGTCTTGAACACACTTATCCCATTTTTCTGGCCACTGTGTGGTTCAGAACAATGACTGTGCAACTGAAGACATGAAAGAGGACCTGCAGAGCTGTTTCAGAACATGCCACAAATGATGGGATGTATGAGTTCAAACAGAGGAGGGGTCAGAGAGAGGAGGAGTATCCTCAGGGAGATACCTGGCAGTGTGTCTTTTGCTGTAATAATTTTTAAACATTTAAGTATTCATTGTATTTTTATCACATTGTGTGTGTGTGTATCATTTTATATAAAGGATTTGGGCAAATTCAGGCTTTGGTATCCGTAAGGGGGTACTAGAGCTTATTTCTTTTGGATATTATGTGGCTTGATTTTATACTTGATGCTCTATGCCCTATGTTTTGTAATTTTTTGCTTTCATAAGTCTGCTTTCTAGATTCCTCTTCTTTTATTTACCTAAAAGTTGTTATATGTATTTGGCTTTAATAGTGTGTGAGTTGGTGAAACACAAAAACTCTAAATAGTATTAGAATTAGATTTTTCCATTGGGGCTGATGGCTAATGTGAACTCACTGAGCCAAGTTTCTGTCTTCCATCTCTCCTTTCCATTACTGTTCTATTAGTTTGTTTCCTGACATCCAAGAAGGGAGGGACTTCTTGTCAAAAGAAAGTTTTATTTCTGAATGCTCACTAATGTTGTCCCAAGAACTGAAAAGAAGAGGTTCTGTTGTTTTGGTATTTATCTGCGAGCTTTAAATGGGCAGAGGCTGTGTTTTATTACACTGAAATGCTTACCTGTCTCCATTACACAGCCGTCATCTGAGTGTGAAGAATTGGGATTTGTCTAATAAGAACGATTTTGCCAGGTTGCTGAATGACCAATGCATGCGTAAGTGCGTGTGTGCGTGCATGTGTGTTCTTGGAAATAGATACTATTAGGGGAGATTTTTTAAAGGGGTAGTCACCCAAAGTTCTGTAATCTAAGAGGAAATATGTGAATTGTCAGGTTTTCTTGTAGTATATATGATTTAAGTGACTTAATTTTAGATTAAACTTTTTCTTAAAATTTTATTTAAACATTATCATTGTGTAGCTTCAGGAGTTTTGCCTTCTGAGGCACATTTGTCAGGTTTGATGTATGTTTTAAAACAATTCCTGAACCTACAGAAATCCAGAGGATATCTTTTATTTTGTGGTACTAGGAATTAAACTCAGCTATTAAACTGAGCTATTTCCCTGGCCAGAGGATATCTTAATGGCCACAAAAAGCAAAATTGGTAGACTTAATATTCTCACATGGATACTTCTACCTGTTTATAGCAAGCTAGCTATTTATTTATTTATTTGGCACAGCATCTCACTACACAGCTGACTCATAGTGATCCTCCTGTCTCAGCCTCCCCAGCGCTGGGATAACAGGCATGCACTATCATGCCAGGTTTGGGTGGACGGCATGGCACAGGGTCCAGCACAGCTTGCAGTACTGGGGATTGAATTTGGGTGCTTGTGCTTGTCACGCAGGTGCTTAGACTGCTGAGACATCTCCCCAACCCCTATCGCTATTTTAAAGGGTCGGCACATAATTAAAATGTGAAAAAAGGGAAGACTCAGATAGCCATCTGCCTTGTTTTGTGCATCATGTAGCACATATCCTGTTTTGTACAGGTGGAACAGTTAGTGGAATTATCCTTATTTCTCAGAAAACTGTAGCTTTAATGATAATGTGAGTGCTCCATTTTAGAAATCATAATTACTGGTCGTATCTTCCTTGGCATATTGAGAGCTTTTAAGGAAGACTGAGTTAAAGTATGAATGGGTTAAAAGAAAGTTGGAACAGACCTTTTATGAACCTGATGCAACATTTTGTTAAAAGATATGTATAAGATCTGTCCTATATATGTTCTGTACAGTGTCAGGCACGTGAGAGAAAGATGAAGGCAAACCTTTATGAAGTTTCCTCAGTACCCAGTATTTAATAGCTTACGAGATATACCAGTAAGCCACTTTGGTATCAAAACTGTCTGTAGCAAAGAAATATATAAACTGCACAATGGAATTCATTCATTTTGGTAGAAGAATGTGATATATTCTTGTAACTTAGAAATTTTAAAACTCAGACTTGAAAAAAATTGTTGTGTCAGTGATCAGTAGACCATGTTGCTTTTTAAGTTCAGAAAAGTTACATAATCCTGAAAATATAACTTCACCTCATTATCCAACTGGATTTCCTATTGCTTTGACAGTCCCAAGTCCTTGAACAAATGTTTGGCGGTTGGAAGGATTTTGCCAAAATGTAAAAAGCAATAAGAGTATTACTGAAAGCTGAGGTCGTAGTTGCTCAGAAATGCATCAGGGCTTTTTGAAAAGAAAATAAGAGCTATTAAAAGTATAATGTTCATGAAACTCAACAATCACTGTGAAGGAATGAAGAACAGGAATATTTCAGAGGCACTTGAAGTCAAAGGTTGCCTTGAGTGTTAGAGGTGACACAGTTCCTAGTTTTTAAGTGTGGGAAATACGACGCTAAAATCTAAAACTAGGTCAAACATTTCAAAGTTGAAGTTCTATAGACAAGTTCTATAGACTTTGTAAATTCTTACCGACTTATGTTTTGTAAATTTTTTCTGACTTATTTCTGGGTTGGTTTATTTAATAATAGTTCTTTTAGGAAATAGTTTTTATGATACCTATCATGGCCTTAGTGTTCTCATAAAAATAGTTTTGAAGTTAGTTCTCTCAGAATTGGTCTAAAGAAGAGTTACATAATTTTTGAACTTGACTAGGCCTGAAAGATGTGTTGCACTGATTTTCTAATCTGGTTTATGTTGAGTTGTTTGGTTGTCTCCCGAGAAAAGTCTAAAGAAACACTAACTTTCTTCATTTTGCGTTTCTGTTTGTCCTACTTTTTTCTTTCAGTAATAAAATGTCCTTTCATTTATTTTATTTTTAGTTTTTTTTTTTTTTTTGGTGGAATTGGGGATTGAACTCAGGCCTTTGCGCTTGCCAGGCAAGCGCTTGCTTATTCTACTGAGCTATACCCCAGCCCCTTGTCCTTTCATTTATTAAATCATTAAAGCTTTTAAAAAGTCAGCACTACTTGACAAATA